CCATAAATAGTGCAAAATGCTCAATTCTCCCCATAGGCGCCCCTGAACCGTCCGGGATATACCATATTGATGGGGGTTACTCAGAACTAACATTCCTAAGAAAGATCTCGGTGTGCATGTCTCACATGATTTACGCACCATAAAAGACACACTACGGAGGGTTGCTGTTGCCAACCGGATGTCCCATGCCATATGGACAGCATCTCGCAACTGACTACCGAGATCTTAAGAATCATTTTAATTTCTCATGGACGCCCGATCCTTGCGAACAGACTACCCGCCACCTGTCCCCTTACCAAGGTAGAGTGTGACATGATTGAGAAGGTTCAGCGGCGTGCTTCGAAATCCATATTTGAGTTAAATAACTTGTCTTGCCCACTTCGACTACTGCGGAGGCAGCTTTTCTCTCTGGAATATCGTTGACAGAGGTGGGCTGATTTTTACTAGGCAAACTCTGATGGGCGAGATGGGGATGGATCTACAAGCGTTCTTTCAAGTCAACACTAATAGTTCCACTCGGGAGCAAAACTGAAAACTATTTAAACACCGAAGGCACAGATTTCGCTCCAATCTCGCTCTATCAATCCACATTGTAAATGGCTGGAACAACTTACGGAAAGCTTTGTTCGAGGCGCCGACTGAGGAATGTTTCAAGCCAATTTTAGATTCTCACTTGATGAGCAAACTGGGACCTTGCTTCTCCCAACGTAGCTGTTACCGCCCCTTGTGGAATACCGTAACGGACTGTCCTTCTGCTGATAGTTCAACCGTTGACGCGGAGTTCATCCCACCGGAGGCTCCTGTTCACGTGGATATAACAGACACAGATGCCTCGTACGGCATTGTTGACCCGCCCCAAATGGAAGGCGAATCACGGACTCCTGAGCCATTACAGAATAAGCGTAAGAGGGTAAGGAAAGCGCGCAAACCCTCCGCCCCCAAACCGGAAGGTGACAAAATGCTCAAGAAACAAGCGCCTGCTTTGAAAACACCACTTGGTGTTGCACTTCCCTCAGTGAGACAAGAGGTGCCGTCGCCTTCGGTCTCACCGATTCCTGTCAAACAACCATGTGGCGTGGATGGTAGAGCATGTGATGTAAACACACCTAGTCGAGGTGATTCTTACACAGATAGCGGTGTGATTTTCAGAAACGTCACTGAATCAACTGCAGCTCTTCCTACCGAGCGCATGCTTGAGGATCTTGATTGGCTTAAAGTGTATGACCAGGCTTTTACCACCAGGTTTCCCTGGTGTTACTGTCAGGAAGCTCATCAGATTGGGGAACGTTCCGGTTGGTCAGCCAAATCCTCGACCCTGTCTGCTTAGGGTGGTCCTCTCCACCCCAGAAGAGCGCAGGGCCTTACTGAGATTTGCCTTCAAACTCAAAGGTACCAACGTTAGTGTGCAACCAGACCTTCCGTTAGCGGATAGGTTAAAGTTAAAGGAAGCCATCAGAGACCTAAAAGCCCGGCGTGCAGCTGGCGAGCAAGGTCTCCGATTGGTGGGTTTTCAGGTGGTCAGCCGGCGATCATTTTCCGCCCTGCCAGAACCTATACTACTTGCGCACGACCCAGGGCTGGTCGGGCCGAAACCCTCCAAGTAGTACTTAGTAACGTGCGTAGCCTGAGGAACAAGATGTGCGAGGTGGGTCTGCTCGTAGACAAATCTCGTCCAGATATACTTGCTTTCACTGAAACGTGGCTGTCTGAGGAAATCGCAGATGGCGAAGTATATCTGCCTGGCTACGCACTGTTCCGCGCTGACCGCTCCACTGGCCGTCAAGGGGGTGGTGTAGCTCTTTATGTGAGTTATCACATCGACGTATTGAGGACCAGCGTTTTTCAGTCTCTCGACAAATCTGTTGAGGCTCTCGCAGTCTTGATTTGCGCTTCCTCGGTTCAGGTTACGGTGGTGTTAGTGTATAGAAGCCCTATGAGCACCTCCAATGAAATCATTGACTTTATACGCACTCACTCTGCGAACAAGTGTCTGGTGCTGGGAGACTTTAACCTCCCAGATGTTTGTTGGGATGATCTATCTTGCAGTTCGACGCTGGAATCGTTCGGTACAGAACTGCTGGACTTGACGCTGCAGGTACCACTACACCAGTTCGTGGACCTCCCCACTAGGTACATGAGCAATCAGCAGCCGTCCATTTTAGATCTTGTTTTTGCTAAGTCACTTGACTTTGTAAATGACATTAAATATGACTCGCCTCTTGGCGCTAGCGATCACGTTTGCTTGTCTTTCCAGTGTGCTCTTATCAGGTCTTGCCAAGCTACTACCAGTTGGTATCCGAACATTTGGGCCGCGGACTTCCAAGCGATGCGGGATAAAGCTAGGTCATCGCCTTGTGTGATATCTGGTACCGATACTGTTCACATAGCCTGGGAAAAACTTAAGGCTCACGTCGTGGACATTTCTGCACCTCACATCCCACTGGTAAAAAGAAGGGAATCGAGAGCGCAGCCTCCGTGGATAGATTCCGCTGGGAAGGGCTTGCTAAAGAGGCGGTCTAGATGCTGGCGAGCATACCGAACAGCTCCGTCGAACAGCACGTTTGACAAGTATCGGTTGGTTCGAAATGAGTGCAAGCTGCATCTCAGGTTGGCTCGGCTTCAGTATGCAAGGGGCTTAGCTAATACTGCTTCGAAAAACCTCAAGAAATTCTTCGCTTACGTTAAACGACGCTGCGGTGCCAACTCGCCCATACCACCATTGCTTCGAGGAGATAAGACCCATGCCTATAGCGACTGTGACAAGGCATGCGTGCTTGGTAAGCAGTACTCAAGCGTCTTTGTCCGCGAAACAAATACGCCATGCAAACAGTTAGCTTCAAGAGTCTCTGAGGACTGTTGTCTGGATGAAATTCCTATAACTGAGTCCCAAGTTCTCCGGTTGCTAAGAGAGGTAAACCCAACTAAGGCTTCCGGGCCAGATTCCGTTCACCAAAAATTGTTGCATGAATTGGCAGTAGAACTCAGTGGACCTCTGACTTGTGTGTTTCAGAAGTCACTCAACAGCTGTATCTTGCCTACCGAATGGAAGGAGGCTGTTGTCTGCCCGAGTTTCAAGTGCGGTGACAAAGACCTACCGGCTAATTACAGGCCTGTCAGCTTGACTAGCGTGGTCGTTAAGTTACTTGAAAAATTAGTACGCGATACAGTGGAGCACCATTTAAATACGTTTAACCTGTTTTGCGTCGAGCAACATGGTTTTCGCAAAGGATTTTCGTGTCAGACGAACCTGCTGGTAGCTCGTGAGAGCTGGGCTGAAGCCGTAGACAGTGGACATGCTTTGGATGTGGTGTTCATTGACTTCGCCAAGGCCTTTGACACTGTCCCCCATTCGCGACTCTCATTGAAGTTGAGGTCGTATGGAATAGCTGGTCGCGCTCTCCAGTGGGTGTCAGCTTTTCTGGATGGACGGGAACAGTGTATTCGTGTGGGAAGCTGTCTTTCGTTTCGACAAGCTGTACTTAGCGGCGTTCCGCAAGGCTCTGTCCTAGGTCCGCTGCTTTTTTCTGTCTACGTGAATGACTTGCCGGAGGAGCTTGAGGTACCATCGCTCTTATTTGCTGATGACCTAAAGCTCTGGAATATTGTTGATATCCCTGGAGGTCCTGTGGCTCTTCAACGGGCTCTGGATAAACTCTGGGAATGGTCTGTCTTATGGTTGCTGCCCATAAACCGGGCAAAGTGTTCAGTGCTGCGTATCGGAGCGTCTGCTTCCTCCACAAGTTATGTGCTCGATGGGAGTGAACTTCCTCACGTGACTCAGCAGGTTGATCTAGGTGTCGTCCACTGTACCACACTACACTCTGGCGACGACTGGAAGAAGGCGGCTAGTAAAGGGTTCCGGATGTTGTAGTTTATCCGTCGTTCTTTTGGGATCCTAACCGCTGATGTGTTTGTGAAGCTTTTCTCAGCGTTTGTGCGACCCCACCTAGAATATTGCGTCCAGGCCTGTCCACCATGCCTTGTCCGGGACAAAATGGCACTAGAAAGGGTGTTGCGTGTCGGTACTAGGTTGATCAAGGGATTACGAGGGCAAACGTACCCCGAACGCCTACTTAGTTTGGGGATGCACTCAATGCACTATCGAAGGATTAGAGGGGACCTAATCCTAACCTACCGTATTATGACTGGGAAGGTTGGCCCCGATTTGTCCATGCTATTTAGTCCTGCTATATTATCTGGTCTTCGCGGGCATTGTATGAAACTGGACAAACCGCGGTCCGATCGAGTTAGAGCGGAGACACGGTTCTCACGTCGAGTCATCGAGCGCTGGAACCTGCTTCCAGAACATGTTGTCAAGGAATCAACGGTTAAGGGGTTTGAGCGTCAACTAGACGCTCTTGGGTGGCAGCACGAAACCTTTCCTTTTTCCTGACTAATTCCCATCTTCATACTTCGAATCTATTTTCTTTACTTTTCCTCACCATTGGTATTATTCTCTTCTTTTAACTGATTTCCCCTTCTCTCTTACCTTCGTTTTTTCTTCCTCTCTTACTTACTTCACGCAACTGACATAGCTGGGACAGCTAATGTAAGGAACGTGGGCATTAAATTGGTGGACCAGGGTGTTTTTCGGGTATTTTCCTTTTAGACCCATCAAAAAGTCGGAGCACCTTTATCATCTCCTGGATCGACGACCCGCTCAAGAAGGAACACTTACGGGATTCATCCTATCGTTCCAGTCCTACTTGAACTTGAACTTGAACCGAAGCGTAGCGACGCACGACATGCATGCAATGATCGGGAAGCGAAGGACCTGACAAAGGAACTTTCTTCTGCTCTCTACAATCTAACGATCCAATAATGAAAGTATCTTTGCTCTGACAACTAATGGCAGCACATGTGATCAAAAGGTGGCACAAAAAGCGTATACATAACGGTTCAAAGGAAAGACTTGGACTTCTGCGAAAACAAGTAAGGATTGTGAACAACACCTATTGACGTCACTAATCGTGCCCATTGTTTTACTGAATAAACACTGTAAACTAAGGTTGCGCACGTTTTTATGTAAGAGAAATGCCCTTGCGGAAACGTACCAAATTTGCTTAGCATTCATGCATTGCTGTGGTTTGTTCTACGCAGGTGTATCACATGAAGTTTTATTTGAACTGCTGTGTGCTACTGTCATTGTGCCTTATGCTGGATTCCTACAATCCATGGTCAGGTTGTCCAGGTGACAAAGACTTCGATCCAGGTTGGTTAGCTGCAGCTTTTAGTGAATTACAGATTGCCCGGACGGATGGATTGGCTTCGAGAATAACTGTTATACGTTCTTTTCTGTTGATGCGTTAACTTACCTGGCAGCAAAGCAAAATTGTGAGGTATATGTTTTCGAAAACATCATCAGTTGTTTTCAGCGGCATGGTGCCTTACTTCTTAGTATCGATACCATCCAAGAACACATATTCATTTCAAAGCAATTGGAAAATATTACTGTCACACGAGCGTACACAGTCTGTTTACTCATCTGTTGCGTTTTAGAATGCGTTGGTACACCTCCGGTATTATGCGGCCTGATTCTTTCGGAGAGTTTATGTGGGAAGGTCATCCTCTAGCATTTCAACAGGTCAGGGCTGAATTACTGCCAATATGGATAGATGAAGTTCCTAAACCTCAGGACCAGTCAACGTTCCCTCCAGATAGGAACAGGATTGTTTATGGATCCGATGGCTCTCGATGGGGATGGTACCTAGACACGGCTACTCCTGAGCGGTACTACATATGCGAGGCGCCCAAATCGGCTTCAAACCAGCTTCTGCCAACTGCTAAGTCTCTTTCATATGGGGCTGGCATTCTGGATCAAATCAAAAGAGGTCCTTGTTTCATCAACCATCCAAAGGATGTTCTGTAAGCGACTGAATTACTTTTGATGGTAGTTTCAGTTACGTCCCAAGACTCAGTTCGGAAACGTTTGCAGAACTAAAGTGCGAGGCCAATGGAAACCCACAGCCTATCATCAATTGGTATTCCGTCAGCATTGAAAGCAGGACGGACTCTTCTGGTCGAACATACTCTTGGCTGAGAAGGACACTCATGCTTCCAACGTCCGATCCACTTGGAAGAATTGCTATCAGCGCCGGGTCACTGGTCATTCATAAGCCGGAAAGCTCGACTGACTCTCAACTTTTTCAGTGCGAAGCGACTAATGAGTTAGGTACTGTGCTCAGCCGAACAGCTCGCATTGTTTTTGGACAACTCGAGACATCTCCTAAACAACCTCGAAATGAGAGGAGGGTACTTGCACATAAAAGCGAGACCCTACCTTGCGATCCACCAGCACACTCCCCACAAGATAGTGAGTATTTTTCCTAGTTTCCTCAAACAGGATGTGATGATTTGGCAAATATGTTTAATGCATCATTGATTTGATATGCAGCGGTAATCGGCTATCCATAACATTCTTGATCAAGTTGTGCAGTTATCTGAACAGAACCGGAGAAATTATTATTATTTGATGGTGATGTTTACTTAACATACGCAGCCACTTTTTGAATTTTTAACTAGAAAAGCCTTATGCGATCTTTTCGTAGATACGTTGTTGGACGCATAAAATTGTTTACTCCCACAGGCTAACTGACCGATTGGAGCACTTTGAGTTGCTGCTTTTGTGCCCATGGACGTGCCAGTGCGACACGTTTTGGACGAATTTTCATGAAAGCCGCCTGCCTCATCCATAGGTAGACACTAATTGTCTACTTGTCATCCATTCTACTCTACTACACAGTTTACAATTTTGTTGAGACATACTAACACTAGCATCCAACATTTCGCCCAGGCTATGGCGATCGGCAGCATCAAACCGGCACTCTGTGTGCAACAACAGTTCTTCGTAAGCTTAAGGCTCCCATGGAAGTAGGGGTGGCACAAATGTACCTCACCCTGTCTCTATTTTATCCAGTCACACCCTAGCTGTAGATGAATATATTTTCCTGTTATTGTATTGGCACTGACGAGACAATACGAAATGTTAACATCTGCCAGCTTTCATCTTCCCACAGCCTTGTTCAAAATTTCCATTACTCAAGAAAATGTTCGTGCTGTGAATGCTTTCATCCAACTCGCACATACCCACCACAGTTACCGGAGTACGGCGTTTTCAGCGTCAAAACACATTACTGACGACGTATGGCTACAGTCCAAAACTTTTGAGTGAAACTTATGTGATTAAAGTGAACCTTACTAGGACGGCCAATGATACAAAATTAGTTGCTTGATGGCAACCCACCGGGCACTTCCGCTGGCTTTGTGTGCGATTATAGTCAAAAGAAATGACTTACTATTTAGGTCCGCTGTGGTAATGATACAACAAAGTATCTAATGCCGTTTTCGTATACATGGATTTTATTTTATATAGTCCATATTATTCAAGTGACCGAAAAGCGCACAAATAGAACGGACGGCTTTCTGCCTTTGCCGACAAAGTAGTTATCTTCAAGTAAAACAAGTGTATGGCCTTTACCTTAAGAATCTAACGCATATTCGATCAAAGCGCTTTTGAGGGGTTACAAAGGAATGACAGGGTGATTTGTATGGTAGAATCAAAATTCTATCACATACAGACTCGGTCAGGCAGCCAGTACATGCCCGGAGAAACATTGTACCGCCATTTCATATTTTAGAAATATTCAGCAATGCACATTCCACCTAATCACTGTTGGTCTCGAACGGACAACTAGACTGTTGCGAATCTCTGGTTGACATCACCGAGCTACGTGGAACGCCAGTGACCGTCGCTATAACACATCTAGAAACAGTCACTGCGATAGTTTACCAACAGTACAATTATCAGAGTGCCACAAACGACGACGGTTGTTATCGTGCTCCGTAGCTCAATGCTGTCAACCTTAGATCGGGAACAGTCGTGTTGTTGGTTCGAGCACCACCGCGGTGAGATTTTGTGAGAAACCCTCTGGTGCAATATCGTCTATGACATGCTAGCAAGCATAATTTAAATTACGCCTCTGATATTTTGCCAAGTATTTCATGAGTATGGAATGAGCTTTTTGAACTACATTTATGACCGATTTATGCACTTACTCATTCATATTACTTTTAGGTTTACTCTATACTATTTACATGAACAAGAACGGAAACTTAGAACCAGTCATCCCTGCATATCGACCGAACCTCTTTATTTCCCAGGCAAAAGGACTAATAGGATTTTCGGAACTTACGACCATGGTACGTTTTTTGACTGATAGTCGCAGCTCGCACTAGTTGAAAATAACATGGAATGTTTAATAACCGGCTACTAGAGCAAGGTTTTATCGCTGGGTTAAATTGTTTCTAGGTAACTACCGACTTTGCTGTGAGATAAGAGAAGTCATGTCTAATCCTTGTTAGTTCTTTCTAACCCATATTCTTTTTCTCTTCAGGACAGTGGGATCTATGTGTGTATGATCACAATGCACTTCAATGGCGAACGGTTATACGATTCCCCGAAATTGCCAGATATGCCCTTTACTGTGCTGTACAGCAACGAACCACGACAAGAACCTCGGATCTACGATGACTTTCCAGCTGTTTGGCCTCCTACCCCACAACGGGGACAGTTCGTTCGACTAGAGTGTTTTGCTGCTGGGTATTCTCAAGTTACTGGTCTTAAATACAGTTGGCGCCGTGTAAGAAAACGTGTTTGATTAGCGTACATTTTATTCAGGTCTATTTATAACCTTACTGCAAACTTTGCAACCAAAGTGGACGTAATAAGCGAAATTCTGTAAGAGAGGTGGCTTAGGCTACTATAACCTAGCAGTTCGTTTTGGGTTGCAAGACTGGATAACTCAAATTATGTGACGAGTTACCGACCAAAGTATCGTAACCAATAGGATACAAACAATTAGACTTGTACAAATGGTCAAACTAATGTTTATTCGTCTTGTAAGATGTTCATTGTCGCTTACACTCTATTTTTAGCTTGATGGAACTCCGCTGAGAATGAACAGCTTGAAAGATTTCAATCGTGTTATTGAACTCCCAAATGTTCAACCAGAGGACCAAGGAGAGTACGAATGTAGTGTAAGTTTAGTTTTTTCACCCAACCTAACTTATAATTTTTATGCCATGTACTCATAAATATATAGATATATATATCAGCACATGGTAATAGATATCGAATAATTCAATACTATGGGATTTGGAATAAAATAAAAAGAACAACAGGTGCAACATGTGGAAACAACAATAATTAAGAGAAACAACCTACAACGATAGTGTTCGTCTTTTATCACCCGCCATTTCGCACTTGTTAAAGTTAATACTTTTTGAACTCAGAGTTTCACGCAAACTTGCGTGCATTGCTTCTAATGCATCTGTATTGCGCCATTGCCTCGAGCTCTGTGAGCCATTGTCGTTCTTCTTCTTTGAGTCTCAAACCGAGTAGACGTACTGCGCCGGATATGGCTAGAAAGATGTCACTGTTTTCATGTCTTGTCGCCGAGTGGTCGGCTGGCCTCTAAGCAACATTTTTCGATGCGTCATTACGAGCGCAAATAGAGCGCGGCGTCGTACACACTCTTTAAGCATGCATAGGACTTGGTCAACTCATCTCAACTGGCGTAGCAGAACAAGCTCAAAGAGCGGGAGGCCACAGCGTCTCACATTCTCATTGCGCACTTGATCTTACCACCATACAGGGGCGATCCTCCGCAAACAGCCCTTGTCAAATGCAGAAGGCCTATGCATGTCATCTACACGGTGAGTAACATACCGCGATGTTGCCACAAAGGGCATCGTTTTGCAATAGCCGATCAGACTTCCGCGATACGAAAAGATACCTCCTCTCCAATCTTGCCGTCGGAAGAAATGCAGCTCACTACGTAGACAAAACTGTGAATGTGTTCGAGATGTATGCCTTCTGTGGTGAGCTGAGAAAGGAGGGACTGCTAATCCTGAGAAAGCCCTTTTCACTCGGAAGCGGAAGAAAAGAAGGAAAGTGTGGCATCAGGAGTACACCGGTACGCAGTATCAACGCTTCACTACTGCGCAACCACCAACAATCGCACGTGGGCTAAAGATACTGCGAGGGTATCCCGGTATCCACGCAGGCTCGAACTCTAGGCCTCATATTACAAGGCAGGGTTGTGATCCTTAAGACTACATAGCAGAGGAGACAAAGCGTATACTATACGTAGACGCCCCAACCACCAGTTGGTTAAGAATCATTTGCATACCCAGAGAGTCATTCTTGGAAAAGGTGATATTATCAGTGTAATCTGGGTTAGTTGCGCTATCACCTCGAAGTATTTCGATGCTAAAACTATTCAGCCTTTCTAAACTCATAGCAGGATGTTTTTGATCTCAAAGTTGAAGAGAACCGGAGAAATAGGGCCTTTGTCGTACACCTTTAGTGGCAGCTAATAGTGCAGAAATTCGCCTATAGAGATATAGGGCCCAAATATAGTGATGAACGTTTTGAGAAAGCCATTATTTAACAGATCGGCCTACTGAGTCGAATGTAACCCTAACCTCCAGGAAGGCGGTGATGCTGGGTCGGTGCTAGAGAAAGCGATGTTCGATGAGCTGCGGGAGTGGGAATATTTGATCCACACATCCCCGACAGGGGTGAAAAGCAACCTGCTCCTTCCGGTAATTTGTTTTCTGCTTTGGTGCTAGTCTGCGGAGTATAATGGATGCTATTATCTTTAAGTCAGACGATATCAGACTGATCTCTCCGTGATTGGCGCATGAACTGCAAGCCCATTCTGATATCAACTTCCTAGTTGGGTTTTGCATTTCCTACTCGGAACGGACGAACTCTGTCACTTATTGGTTCCCACGCGCAGAGCAGCCCAGACGATTGGAGTTGGAACTGTTAGTTTACTTAGCCGGCAGACGTGAACTCGTACCTGAGAAGGTAGGCGGGAAGCCCAAACACCGCACAACTGTACCGAGACCCGCAGAAAGACGACTGGCCAATAGCAAAAGTGCGTTCACTTATTCAACCAAGTCAACCGCGCGTTCTTATACTTATGGTTCACTAAGACAGTACTAATTATCTAAACGATGGAAGAAGTCGTGTGCTTGTTGACACATGAGTTGCCATGTAGTGGTCCTATCTTCGGGCAAAGATGGGGTGGGGTCGATTCTGCTGAGATGTTGGACACATCACAGTTGCTGAGTGGGCTAGGTGGCTAAGACATTGGTATGAACACAGCTCAGGAGTCAGACTGTTGACTTGAGGTGAGTCGGGGAGATACGATAGTGGGACTTGGGAAAGATCATTGGAATTCATGCGGGATACGTTGGCCCTATTCTCACTGAGGACAACTCCGTTGTGATCATTACAGATGAGTGGTCCCTTGGTGGCAGTTTCCGTAGGGAGAGATCCACTACGAACTGAGTAGTTTGGGTCTCTGCATAGCGGCCGTGTTGTTTGGGTCAGATAGCACACTTGCGCCGGTGAACTCCAGGTGAGTTTGGCAAGGATGTACCAATCATGCAACATCTCTCCTTGTAGACTGATACTACCGTTTGTGGTGATGGGTTACCTGTATCGTTGTTGCCACTCTGCGAATGCGTCCTGTGCGGCAGAGGGGACAGTCATGTTTCCTAGTTGGTTGGATGGCTTTTTCTGATACTTGTTTCTCCTTCGCGACCTCGTATGTATCCACCACCGGGTGTAGTGGCAACTGTGTGGGTAACTGATCCTCTATAACCATCCTTTAGAGTCTCGTTCAGAGTTGGTTACCGTGACGAACTCATGTGTCACCAGACAGCGACATCATATAACATACTGTTACCGTTGACTAGCGCCGTTGTTTCAGTCCAAGTTGAGTGGACATCTCGGTCGTCACACTTGTTGACAGGTTCTCCAGCTGCGACACAATTGCAGTTGTCGGAAACAGCAGGTTTTACTGCTTTGACCAAGAAGAGGGCTGCTTTTGGAACTGGCCTTTTCGAATGAAAAACCCGGTGGGCCTCGGATGTCAGCCTTAACACTGGGGAAACTTGTCTGTTGATGTCGTCACTTTTGTCCGTTTGTGTTTCCGCTGATTGGGCCGCTCTTCAGATAACCCGAAACGGTAGCTTGTCCAAGCTCATGTGTTCGAAACAATCGAGACCAAGACCATTGAGCTTTGACCTCATGATGTAGCAGGTGTCGTCCACTGTAGTATCTCTGAAGGAGATAGAGCAGTGCAGCTGCTCTGTTAGCTGTTCACGACCACCGCATGTGCTGCTAGCTGTTGGTGATGTTGACTGGAAAGACTGTTTGCATTGAGGCTGGACCTTACCGTGGTGCGATGGTTTGTGTGCCTCTGTGATCCATTGAGCTATACTGGGTGGTACATTTTTGCACCTTTAGAGCCACTCATACCAGATTGGTCAATGGTTAAAGGCCAGACAAACTCAGCCTCCTGGTCCTCCAGGTTGGGGGTTGGAATGAGGGTAGCTCCTTATTCTTTAAAACGGACTCCTTGTAGCCCAGTGCGAAACCCGCTGCCTTGCGGTCAGGTTTTGAACCAAAGGCTTTGGTTGAGAACCCTAATCGTTCTCCCATTTAGGCCTGGGCAACGTGACAGGATCCTGCTCACGCAATACAATGAATCACACTTCAAACAAATTTCTGTTGCTCTGGCCACCGCAGAGGATAATCAACGGTGCCATATCTGCTGCATCGGGCAGGGTGGATAGGGGTTTGGATGCTACTGCTCAAGCCTTCCCGCCTTCTTATTCCCCCTTGCGCTTTTTCACCTTTATCGTCCCGTTCCAGCTTCACTTTTATCCCCCTGTTTGCAACCCCCCAATTCTCGGCCCTCCCCCACATTGCTTCAATAGTCGCTTGCCTTTTAGTTTCAAATTACATGTGAACGCGGAGCGTCATTCCTGCCCTGTCAACAGGCCCATGTCCAAGCAAGCGGCCCATTCCAGTTCATCGGTTTCCATTTGGAACCCTCGATCCTCCTTCAGATTGGAATGCTTCAATGTTCGCACACTGCTTCAGTTCGGTTAACATGCAGCACTAGCTCGAACATTAGAGACCCTATCGATCGATATCTGCTGCTTATCGGAGACCCGCCTGCAAGACTCGAGCTCTGTACTCACTCTCCGATCCCCTTCAGGTGACACTAGCAGCATTTTTTCGTTGCGCCTATCCGGTGACGATGCAGCTTCGAGCACCGGTCAAGCCGGTGTTGGTATTGCCCTGAGTCCCCGGACTGAAGCTACTCTGGTTGATTGGATTCCAATCAGTAGCCGGATGTATGCGGTCCGATTGGCTGGCTCGTTCAAAACTTCGAAGTAACGTGGGACTAACAGGTGTCTGTTCGTTATCGCTGCCTATGCACCGACAAACTGTAGCGATGACTCGGTAAAAGACGACTTCTATCGTCAAGTGAACGACCTCCTTAGCCACAGAAGAACCTCGGACACTGTAGTGCTGGCTGGGGATCTGAACGCTCGTTGGAAAATTATCCACAGATGAGCTGCATGTGGGGGGCCAACATGGTATAGGCTCCCGTAATGATAACGGTGAGCGGTCACTTCATTTGTGTGAAGATGCTCGTTTATTTCTCGCGAGCACTAATTTCCGACACTGCACCCGCCGAAGGGTGACTTGGCGCCCACCAGGCTCAACCAGCCATGGACGCAAATCGATCACATTGCGATAAGCTACCGATAGAGAGGCTACGTCCAGAACTGTCGCTCAATTTGGGGCACAGGTGTGGACACCGACCATGCACTTGTATGTGCTGACATTCGGATGCGTTTTGGCGGACGCCCACGGCGATGTGAGCGCATTGACACCAGCCAACTGGCGAAGCCAGCTATTCTGAATGCCTATCAAAGTACGCTGTCATGCGAGTTGGATAAACGCTCACTCGATGCAACTGAAGCGCACTGGTCCCATATTCACCAGACCTTAATTGCAGCAGGAAAATCCTCATGTGGTGTGTCTAATTGCCAACATGGACATTGGGTCTCTTCACAGTCTCTGGAACTTATCGATGCTCGCCGGCATATTCCGGCTGGAAGCGAACACAATGAAACTCGCAAAGAGCTCCGGGCGAAACTCCGTG